CACCACAACTGTGGTGCTTTAAGCGCCGGTTTATTTTTCCCATGAGGTACTGTTATAACTGCAGGAGAGTGCTTTTATTTTTCTGACACATGCTCCCAATAAAAAGATCTCATCAAGAATTCCCCTCCATTGCTGCTAATTGATTCACTTTTCACAGAGTGATAAACACTGGTCTGTTAGACTTTTATTTTAATGGACTAACCTGAAAACTCTGTGAAAAATCCTAAATTTATTTTGATGGCAAGGTTATCGGGTCTTGACCAATGATGGCTGGTTTCTGCACAGGCTTTTTTCCCTGCGAAGTTTCTGATTTATTTATAATTTCTTTAAAGCGCCCTCCTTCTCCCCCCACCCCCAACACACACACAATTCTAAACTAAAGAGGCAACAACAACAACTTGCATTTATATACCGCTTTTAAAGTATTGTAGCGCTGGGAACCGCTCGTCAGAGAGGAGAAACTATCATGGACTCGGGCCTCAGGCTATGCATTGATTTTCCTAAATACTTAGGCAAAACTCAGTCAGTTCTGGGAACAATCAGACTCCTTAGAGAGGCTCCTGCCTGCCTTAGCTTGTGGAGATGGGAATAAGACAATGACGGTGAAGCAGAGGTGCTGACAGTGGGCGAAGAACAACCATTAAAGGTTTAGAATTCCCCCAACCAGATTCTCTTCCACACATAATGTGTACAACCTATTGTTTATTTACATAATGTATATGTTGTAATAATAATGTTCCTTGAATTTGATATAGCAGTTTATGATGTCAATGAAACATCTCAAAGGGTTTCACAGGATTTACTGCAAACTGTAGTGACTGTGTAGGCGAATGCAGCAGACAATTTGCACACATCAATATCCCACAAACAGCCATTAAGATTAGATTCTCTAAACATTACTCATAGCTCATTCCTCTAACACTAGGAATCATTCTTATTGCTGTCTTCTGCACTGACTCTAGCTACTTATGTTGTAGTGACCAAAACTGTATGAAGTGTTCTAGATGCGGGCTGACCAGAACCCTATATAGCTTGAGTACTTGTGTCTGGGATCAGTGTGATAGCGAAGAGGGGAGCATGCCTTCACTATCAGCACAGAATAGAACATGACAAATGAAGATATGGAAAAATCAAATAGAAATTGCCATCAGGGACCAGGATGTCTGATGTACATTTCAAAAACTGTGCCTGTTACATAAAATATGACCCAATTACATAATAATGGCCCAGAATTCTTATTCCAGTGCTATCAACTAAGCGGCAAACAAATAGGAAAGTTCAGTTTTCTATATTGCTGACCCTTGGTCCCTCATCACAAAGATCTCATAGTAGTAACTGCATAACAGTAACAGTCAATCCACTTTATAGTATATCCTGTGAAGCATATTGAGGCTCAACAATGTGATAAGCCGCTCTATCAATTACAGGAATAATTATTATCAGTTTGCTGAGCCTTTATCAATAAGGCTACGATGACCTTCTATGTCTATTATAAGTTCAATGTGGGTCAATTATTGTGACAAATGAAGCAGTTTGCTAACAGCACGATGCAGCTGAAACAATACTAATTTAGAATAGAACAACTTGCTCTTATAAAGGAGTTCAGTGCCATGGTAGAAACATAGGTCTATGCATAGCTCTTAAAGTACAGCACTTATTAATTCCTCAGAAAGTGTACTTTACATTTCTAGATAACATACATAAGCCATTTCTATGCATAACATCCTAAAGCCACGATGGACTGTGCACTTGTCTGTAATTCAGCATTGATCATCCATTATTTTATATACTGTATTAATTAAGGAAAGACCTTTGACCATTTTCCACTGGGAATGACAACTGCTGCCTAAACCAGAAAAAAGTCAGAATGTTCCGAATCATATTAACAGATCCAAAACATCTCTAGGTAATGAGAAATATTAACCTGAGACAGCTATACTGCTTCATGCAGTTTATAACTGCAGTGAAATGTTAAATGATCAATAAAATGAAATTATAAATACAACACTTCATTACAGTTATTTATAACTACTCAGGACACAGTCACTAAACCTCAGCAAGCAAACCCAAATAGCTAAGAGCATCCCGACAAATTTGGCGGGGTGCTTTTAGCTGTTTGAGACATTTGGGACCAGCGAATGGAACAGAGTAGCCTCCTGAGAATATTTACAGATAAATTATTGCATTACTGTGAAAAGGTGGTGTGACTTGTCTATGCAGAAAGTAACCAAATTCTCGCCGCACGGGTTTGTGTTCAATTATATCCTGATGGGGCCCTGGGAGCCGATCGTGCTGGAAATGTATTCACTGAGAAAGTGTCTAATATTTTCTTTCTGTGTAAACTGTCAATCTTACTCCAGAAATGGCCGTGAACTGTAGCAAAATCAATGTGCAAGTCACCTCTCTTTATTGACTGACACAGAGGGTTAGGAACCCAAGAAATAATACACAAACTCAAGAACATATTAGTGACTCCAGCAGTTTTATTTGGGAATCGGTAATTACTGCCCCATCAAAGCTTTCAGTGGATAAAGGAGAGGACGTTATAGTAAGAAGGTGATGCAGTGCATCAGAATTTGACAGCACTCTGCTACTGGGCTGCAATTCTGCAATCAGTAAGCTAAGATCATAAGAGTGCATACAATGAGAAAAGGCTATTCTTCCTTGTGACACTCCGGCTACAAACTGCACAGAGCTTACACTACTATCAACAGTACTTCATCCTCTGGGGCAAAGCTCCACATAGACACACCCTGAATGCACACAATAATCAATTTTAGAATAGTCTTCATTCCCCAAATCTCATCTGTTTTTACGTGGCCTCCACATGCCACCGAGATCACCTCCCCTCTGGGCTCGGCAGCACAGAAATCATCTTGCAGCGTGCAGCATTTGTTCATCTAGATCTGTTTTTGTCCCCATTCCATCCAATATTGTTCTCTTCCAGATAATCATTCAATTATTCTAAAAAGTGCTAATTGATACAGAATTAACTGCTTTCACTGTATACTCTGTTCCATGTATTATCTGCTCAATGGGCCAAAATCTTAATCTCAAGTCTTTCCCTGTTCGAGAATTCTAATATTAAACTTACACCCTCTTGTTAGGTGCTCACGGGCCTAAGTGAAATAGCTTGCTTATATCTACATCATCTGAGTTTCTCAGGTTTTACAGGCATGAATCATATCTGGCTTCAATCTTCTTTTGTCTAATGAGAGTACGTTTTCCAAGGGGGAGGAGGAAAGATCAGGTGCTGAGTTGCCCCAGCAACTGGAATAAAACCTTGTGGCTTCCAGCAATGGCAGAATCCTGTGAACAGCTGGCTGTTCTTTTGACTAATAAATAATACACCCTCCACTAAGGGGACATGAACAGTTCAAAGTATGAAGCTGTGATGGGAGGACGGGAGCAGAAATATATAGTCCGCTAAATGGAAATTTAGGTTTGTTCCAGCGTTACCCAATTATTAAATAGGTTTCGCGTTTGGATTTAAGCCAATCTTGACAAGCTCCATTGTTTGTTGTAATTACAGTGAATGCAGCTAGTAGGACACAGCATAAGGTGACATTTTTTTAAAAACCATTGGTGATTCAATGTGCTAATCAAATAACAAATCCGTTAATACATTTTGCAATTTTTACCCCATTGCTACACCAAGCACCACATGCACACAGCTGGTGTGGCTGATTTAAAGGAATGGGTTAAACAATGCATTATTTCTTAACGGATATGCTATGTTGTTATTCGTTATGCACACTGAATCATCAATTTTTTTTTAAAAATCACAAAATCACAAAGGCAGCATAGTAACAGGCAGAGCTGGGTAATTTGGCTGTTGCTATGGCTTTGTTGTTAGGTTCACTCCACCTGCGTACGATCAGACTCAGTGAACCCTGGATCAGCACAGCTATAGAAAGCGAAGATGGAAATCAAGTCAATGGCACGGACAGAGGAGAAATTCTGAAAACGATTCCATTTCCTTTGGAACCGCACCAAACCAGTGTCAACTGGTGCATTGGTGCGAAGCATCACCAGCACAAGTAACCTTGGTAAGAAATGTACCATTTATAATAATAATAATCCTTACATTTGATATAGTGCCTTATCACATCATTGAGATGTCTCAAAGCGCTTTGAATTGACTGTATATTTTGTAGGCGAAATGCAGAAGCCAATTGTGCACAGCAGTGTCCTATAAACAGTCATTGAGTGCCAACANTTTTTTTAAATTTGAAGGGAACATTACCCCTGGAAAGCAATCCGCCAATCAGTGGGTTACTTACTTATTGCTAGGTAAACAGAGGCATGTAGAGTAAGGAGAATGGCCTGAGGTTTCGCCTTACCTGAGAATCGAACCAGAGCTGAAGAATATTTAGTTGTCCACATGGGTCTGATAAATTTTAATTCACAGATTGAATGGTTAAGCATGAACTCAAAGAGCTAGGTCGTGGCTAGATTTATTAAACTGAANTTTTTTTTACACACCAAGCAAACAGCCCATTCTATGGGCTGAAAAAAATAGCATTCATTCTCACAGTTAAAAAGGGCACTAAAAATGTGATGTGTAAACAAAACTTTCGAACAGGCTAATTGTCAAGACTGCTCAAAAAGATAATGTCATTAGTGTTTTATTTTAAGATTGGCGACACTTCATGGCTGTTTGTGGGACATTGTTATGTGCAAATTGGCTGCCGCGTGTGTCTACAAAATACACATTCACTTCACAGTAAATCCTGTGAAACGTTTTGAGACATCCTCCCAATGTAAAAGGCGCTATGTCAAATACAAAGATTATTATTAATAACAGAGCTCTCAGCATCCAGCAAGGAAATTAAAACATTAAATGAGTCTTCTCTGATAATGATAAGAAAATATTTTCCATTGCCAGAATAATTATGGAGTCAAGTGTTAAGGTAATGGTAATGTGCCTGTATAGATTCAGTACTTACATGGATCGAAACTCCCACAGGACAGTATTGCTAATAATAGCAGGTACTCACCTTCACAGTTTGTCCAGCTTCGGGGCCATCCTATAAGAGATGATTTTTAAAAATAAGTTTGAAGCACAAGAGTGAAAGCTTGACATTATTCGCAAGTATTCAATGAAATCCAGTTGCATTACAAGATGAGTAAACCTCATTGACAAATGCATGAAAGCTGAATGGGCTGTGAGCTACTGCATGATTTGTGGCATCAATAGCCTTCCTCGTGTGCAAGCAAACAAAAATGACCATAATAAGCGGTAAGTGATCTTTGGTACCTTCCCCTTTATAAGATCACCGACCAACAAAACAACTGTTAATAATAATCTTGCACACTATAGAGGGAACAGAATATACACTGAATGGTGGCTGAAGCCGGGATTCTAGACTTATTTAAGGAACAGCTTGTTGCTGTGATGGGAGGAGAGGTCTTGTGATGGGAGGAAAGCTTTCTTCATTCGAACTGATCTTGCGACACCTTCTTGTAAAGAGTCGTTCCAACTTGCATGTTGTAAAATTAGATTTACAGATAAGAAGCTGTTCATTCATGGCCTGGTTTCATCCTCATTAATGTTCACCAAGATTACACACCTGAATGGCAATAGTCAGAGATGTTGCTTGGAAATGCTCTTCCACAATCTTTGCAACTTTCTGGCTTGCAAGAAACAAGTCTGCCACCTCCTCCGGTCGTAGATCTTGAAAACGTTCCACACCTCTTTTTGGGCAAACAAGTACATCTTAAATTTGTACAGTCAAGGAAATGGCATACCAATGGCAGGATGTAAATTTCCCTCCAATCATAATTGATCACAATTAAAAGAACAACAACTTGCACTTACATAGTGCCCTCCTCGCAGGGTGCTTAACTCAGAGCGTCTCAGTGCGCTTAACAGTGGCGGAACCTGACTCTGAGCCGGGGAGAGATGGGAAGTGGCCGTTCACAGGGTCGAACAGGAAAGTTTTCAGGTAGGACTTGAAAGAGGGGAGAAATGGGGAAATGTGGAGGGATAAAGGGAGAGTATTCCAGAGTTTTGGGGCGTAGTGGCTGAAAGCACTGCCTCCGATGGTGGGGCGGAAGGTGCAAGGGACGAGCAGGAGGCCGGTGTCGGTCGAGTGGAGGCGCTGGGTGGTGGATTGGGGAGTGAAGAGGTTGAAGAGATAGGAATTGAATGGATTTGAACACGAGAGTAAGGATCTTGAAGTTGATCCATTCGATGATGGGGAGCCAGTGGAGCCTGGCCAGAACTGGTGGGATATGGCTACGGAGTTTGGTCCAGGCCAGTCGCAGGCAGCAGATTTTTGTATGAGCTGGACCTTGTGAATAATAATAATAATAAATAATAATAATCCTTGTATTTGATATAACGCTTTTCACGTCTTCCCGACATCTCAAAGCGCTTCACAGAATAGACTGTAAAGTGAATTGACTGTATATTTGTGGGCGAAACGCAGCAGCCAATTGTGCACAGCAATGTCCCATAGACAGTCGTGGATTGAAGTGACAATTTATTATTGTATTTTGTTTTGGAGGGATTATTATTGATATGGAGTCAGCAGGTCACAGAGGTAGGAAGGAGCAAGGCCGTGGAGGTCCTTGAAGGCGAGGATGAGGATTTTGAACTCTATTCTATTATGTCAGGAGGACATCTCAAAGCACTTCACAGTATTTGCTGTAAAGTGATGCGACTGTGCAACAAATGCAGCAGGCCACATCCAACCCAGCGAGTACAAGGAATTATCCGGCCTGAGACCATTTCCAACTTCCACTCCCTCCCTCCCTGGTGAATAATAAATAATAATAATAATAATCCTTGCATTTGATATAGCGCTTTTCACATCTTCTAGACGCCTCAAAGCGCTTCACAGAATATACTGTAAAGTGAATTGACTGTATATTTGTGGGCGAACTCAGCAGCCAATTGCGCACAGCAATGTCCCACAAACAGTCGTAGATTGAAAATGACCAACTTATTATTGTTTTTTGTTTTGGAGGGATTATTATTAGGCGTGTGGAGTAAGGGAACTTGCCCAAGGTTTCACCCTCTGCCTGGAATTGAACTCAGGTCTCTCGCTTGCAAGGCGAGTGCTCTAACCACTGAGCTACAGCAAATAGTACAGCTGGGGAGACCGAAGAGGAGTGCATTGGAGTAATCCAGGCGGGAGGTGACAAATGCATGCACAAGGGTTTCGGCTGTATTTGGGGTAAGATACGGTCGGAGGCGGGCAATGTGGCGTTGGTGGAAGAAGGCGGTCCTGGTCAGGGACCGGATGTGGGGGAGGAAAGACAGCTGGGGGTCAAACTGGACACCTAGATTGCGCACTGGTTTGGTGAGTCTGAGGGCGAGCCCAGGTAGATTGAGGAGTTTAGATCCGTAGGAGTGAAGACGTACAGCTTTCGTCTTGTCCATATTCAGCTGCAGGAAGTTTACACTCAGCCAGGTCTGCCAGACAAGCTAATAGAACATTGGCAGACCTGGAGTTGGTACTGGAGGAGGCAAAGTAGATTTGTGTGTCATCCGCATACATGTGGAAGTTTACCCCGTATCTGCAGATGACATCGCCCAGAGGAAGCATATAGATAAGGAAAAGCAGTGCCCCGCAGGTGACCACGCAGAGGCAGGAGAAGAAACCATTTGCTGAGATGAAATGGAGGAGGTTGATTAAGTAGGACTTGAACCACGCAAGTGTGGTCCCACTAAGGTAGATGAGGCAAGAGAGCCGATGGAGGAGAATGGCGTGATCAACTGTGTTGAACGCGGTAGAGAGATCCAGGAGGATGAGGAGGCAGAGGGATCCCTGGTCACAGAATGTCATTTGTGACTTGTGAGAAGCGCCGTCTCTGTGCTGTGAGCAGAGCGAAACCAGACTGCAGGGGCTCAAGGAGGGAGTGGAGGGAGAGGTGTGACCGAAATTGACCTGCAGCAATGTGTTCCAGGACTTTGGCAAGGAAGGGTAGGTTGGAGATTGGATAGTAGTGTGAGAGATTAGAGGGATCGAGGGTGGGATTTTTGAGGAGGGGGGTGATAACAGCAGTTTTCAGGACGTGTGGAACTGAGCATGAGGAGAGAGACTGGTTGACCATGTCAGCCAGCAGTGGGGAGAGAAGGGGGAGTTGAGTGACCAACAGCTGTGTGGGGAGGGGATCAAGGTAGCAGGTGGTGAGAATTAAAATTAACTTCATAAATTGTTTTTAAAAAAATTATAAGAATAAACTGGTCACTCAATCCACAACTGTTTGTGGGACACTGCTGTGCGCAATTGACTGTCAAGTTTTGCCCAGAAAATATAGTCAATTCACTTTACAATATACTCTGTGAAGCGCTTTGAGACGTCTCGAAGATAAACGAAAGACAAACGTCTCGAAGACAAACGCAAGGATTACTATTATTATCATTAAATTCATCTTTCAGCATCAACAAAGTTTGTAGAATGCACATATTGTCTAAAAATAAATTAGATGGTGGGGTGGGCCGGGCAGAGGATGTGCGTTGTATGGAGGGAGCGGACAGGTTGATATGGAGTCAGCAGGTCACAGTGGTAGGAAGGAGTAAGGGCCTTGAAGGGGAGGACAAGGATTATGAACTCTATCCTCTGGGGGATGGGGTGAGGGTGGTGGTGATGGGGACCCAGAGCCTGTTGCGGGAGAGGACAGGGGCTGCAGAGTTCTGAATGATCTGCAGTTTGTGGAGGGAAGAAATGGAAAGGCCGACAAGCAGGGAGTTGGCGTAGTCGAGCCTAGATGTAACAAATACATAGATGAGGGTTTCGGCGGCCTGAGGGGAGGGGCAGTAGCGGAGCCAGGCGATGTTGAGGAGGTTGGGGAAGGTTGGGGAGGTTGTGGAGTCCTGTAGCTCATGGTTAGCGCACTCGCTTTGCAAGTGAGAGACCTGAGTTCAATTCCAGGCAGGGCGAAACCTTGGGCAGGTTTCCTTACTCCACACAGAGCCTAATAATAATACCTCCAAAACCAAAAACAATAATAAATTGGTCATTTTCAATCCATATGACTGTTTGTGGGACATTGCTGTGCGCAATTGGCTGCCGCGTTCGCTCACAAATATATAGTCAATTCACTTTAGTGTGTTCTGTGAAGCGCTTTGGGACGTCCTCCTGACGTGAAAAGCGCTATATCAAATGCAAGGATTATTATTATTATTATAGAAAGGGTCATGTCACGGATGTGTTCAAACGGTTTCATTTTCAGGGATCTAATGGCAACAAAGTGAATGTCAGTTACAGTACTGTGAGAATCACAGCAGAGCTCCCTCTACAATTTCCCCGAAAAACAACAAAATGCCTCAACCCAAACTTTCCTGGTAATCTGTTCCAGTTGTGAATCACACTCTGGGTAAAGAAGTACTTCCTGGTGTCTGACCTAAAATTGCCCTTTAAAATTCTACATTGTAAAAATGCTGTTTCGTTCCACTGTCTTGGTGTATCTGAAGTACTGTTCTAATTTACTTTTTCAATCCAATTTAAAATATTATAAACCTCTATAAGGTCCTCTCTGAGACATCTAATTTCAGGACTGAAGACACGTAACTTGTTTAATGCTTGCCCAAAGTTCATTCTTGGTTCACTCTTGTTGCTTTCCTCTGTAATGTATGCACATTCCAGGAACCTTCATTCCAGCGAAGCAGAGAACCAATCTCTGCTAATTTCGCCTCATAGATCCTCTCTGAGGATTCCAGTCATGTTGGAATGTCTGTAAAGTGCTCTGGGATGCTAACCCGCATGAAGGGCGCTATATAAATGCAAGCTGTTGTCTTAGTAGATTGTGCTTTGGTTTGATGCTTAATGCTGCAGTGTGTCATAAGTGCATTGCTGTAAGAGGTGTCGCAAAGAGCCCAGGCAAGTAGTAGGTACCGAGTACAAGGGAAAGAGAGAACATAAAAGGGATTGCTTCAGTTATTAAAACCGAGTATCCACAGCAGTGATATATTTCAAAGTTGAGAAATTTTCAGGATTCAGGAAAGGGTAGGGAATAATTTGTTTCAAACTCTGAGATGCACTGTTAACTTGTAACCCATTCCAAATTGTCCATCCCATAAATGGTGTCCATAAATTTGTGGACCTCTCAAATTTAATAAACATTCCAGATTTATATGATCTTGCATTACTGGTGATTTATAGTTGAATACAACCAAATACAGGGAACTTCATTATAACAGATGGCAGACCCCAGGTCAGCATGTCACTGCTGATATTACTTCCTGCATGCTAAGCATCATTTCCTGCAAACTGAGCATGTACAATAAACGCAACTGATGTCACTTTGATTACAAAGTGAAATCAGCATTGCTTCCTGCCATAGTGAGCAACATGCAGGAAGTGAAGTTACTGGCAACCTGAAAATCAGCAACTATTTATTATCAGAAGCCCAATGTACCATAAGTCACCCACACTATTAGTCCAGCAGCGCTATACCAAAGGGCACCAGAACAGGGTGCCCTGTATTACAGCTTACTATTTATTGCCAGGGACAAATTCCAACCTGCTTGACCAAAGCTGCATTCACTGCAAAGTACACTGCATTAAAAAATAGATAAGATAAATTAATCTCCCTCTCTCTTCTGGCTACAATTCAGTAATCACGATATTACTTGGAATATCTATATTTTATTTGCAAATTAACATTCAGGATGTAAAACTGGACATGTCACATATTAATATATCCATTCCACTGAAACATTAGCTGCTGTGTCAGCTCCAATGTGGCACAGGACATCCAACATGC